ACACCCGGGATAACAGGCCATTTGGAATCCTGGTTGTAATAAGTACCCAGGACCGTTCCAAGTGCCCAGGACCGTTCCAAGTACCCAGGAACGTTCTAAGTACCCAGGAACGTTCTAAGTACCCAGGAACCTCAACTGAAGGTGTCAAGAAAGTATTACTGTCCAGGATAATATTTATTATCCTGCATCAGATAAGTGCCGGCGCGTGTCCTATCTTGGGTACCTATCTTGGAGTAGGTACCTGTCTCCTGCTTCTGTGTAGGGACCCTGGGGTAGTGGTCCGTCCAGGGAGCCCTGATCATTCGACCCCTGGGATGGGTGGCGAGCCCTGATTATGGGATCTTGATACTTGTGGTTTCTGCTGTGATATGTATACTGACAGATGTACATTGTCAGTGTATATATACTGACAGATATACACCTCTCAGTGTATATACACTGAGAAGTACACCTCAGTGTATATACACTGAGATATACACCTCTCAGTGTATGTACACTGAGATATACACCTCTGTGTATATACACTGAGATATACATCTCTCAGTGTATGTACACTGAGATATACACCTCTCAGTGTATATACACTGAGATATACACCTCTCAGTGTATATACACTGAGACATACACCTCTCAATGTATATACAACTGGGAGTGTATATTCTAAAAAATAATTATTGTATTAGACAAAAACAATTATATAGAGAGAGATTGGTCGTCATGGCAACGTCATCTCAGATGGAGGCTGGTTGTCATGGCAACGAGAGATGAACCTTACCTCTCTCTCTCTCTCTCTCTCTCTCTCTCTCTCTCTCTCTCTCTCTCTCTCTCTCTCTCTCTCTCTTATTCTCTTTCTTGCTACACTATTATATATGATAGTTACATTGTGGGAACACCAGCAGTGTTGCTACAGTATTCTATATGATAGTTACATTGTGGGAACACCAGCAGTGTTGCTACACTATTCTATATGATAGTTACATTGTAGGAACACCAGCAGTGTTGCTACACTATTCTATATGATAGTTACATTGTGGGAACACCAGCAGTGTTGCTACACTATTCTATATGATAGTTACATTGTGGGAACACCAGCAGTGTTGCTACACTATTCTATATGATAGTTACATTGTAGGAACACCAGCAGTGTTGCTACACTATTCTATATGATAGTTACATTGTAGGAACACCAGCAGTGTTGCTACACTATTCTATATGATAGTTACGCAGTAGGATAGTAGTATACCTCTTACCTAGTACGCACATGGGTGACGCAGAGTGTCACACATAATGGGTGAATCATAATGGGTGATGAGGCATCACTCTACAACCCATTGTTAGGTGAGTCACCTCTCTCACCCTCATCAGTCACTGACACATGCCTCTTCCGTGAAATGGTTATCAGTCCCATTAGCTGTCACACTTCCTGCTGGTGTCTGCTGTCACACTGCTGGTAAGTAGGAGACGAGGGTTTGTTTCCTAGCTGTGGGGGTGTTAGGTGCGCCTCTCTATTCCTGCTCCTGTTCACCTTCGGGTAAGTAGGTACCTGGGTGTTGGTCTACTAACACCTGCTCTCACTGTTCACCTAGCAGTAAGTAGGTACCTGGGTGGTCTACTAACACCTGCTCTCACTGTTCACCTAGCAGTAAGTAGGTACCTGGGTGTTGGTCTACTAACACCTGCTCTCACTGTTCACCTAGCAGTAAGTAGGTACCTGGGTGTTGGTCTACTAATACCTGCTCTCACTGTTCACCTAGCAGTAAGTAGGTACCTGGGTGTTGGTCTACTAACACCTGCTCTCACTGTTCACCTAGCAGTAAGTAGGTACCTGGGTGTTGGTCTACTAATACCTGCTCTCACTGTTCACCTAGCAGTAAGTAGGTACCTGGGTGTTGGTCTACTAATACCTACTCTCACTGTTCACCTAGCAGTAAGTAGGTACCTGGGTGTTGGTCTACTAATACCTGCTCTCACTGTTCACCTAGCAGTAAGTAGGTACCTGAGTGTTGGTCTACTAATACCTGCTCTCACTGTTCACCTAGCAGTAAGTAGGTACCTGGGTGTTGGTCTACTAATACCTGCTCTCACTATTCACCTAGCAGTAAGTAGGTACCTGGGTGTTAGTCTACTGACACCTGCTGTCACTGCTCACCTAGCAGTAAGTAGGTACCTGGGTGTTAGGTGGCTGTTCAGCATCCTATCTGTTGTAACAGTAACCCACATAAACGGCTGGGTTCAACTTAGACCCATTGAAGCGAGAAGATTCAACAGTACCGTTTCCCGGGTCAGAAACAACAGTACCGTTACCCGGGGTCAGAAACAACAGTACCGTTACCCGGGTCAGAAACAGTACCGTTATCCGGGGTCAGAAACAACAGTACCGTTACCCGGGTCAGAAACAGTACCGTTATCCGGTGTCAGAAACAACAGTACTGTTATGCGGGGTCAGAAACAACAGTACCGTTACCCGGGTCAGAAACAACAGTACCGTTACCCGGGGTCAGAAACAACAGTTCTGTTACCCGAGGTCAGAAACTACCGTTACCCGGGTCAGAAACAACAGTACCGTTTCCCGGGGTCAGAAACAACAGTACTCTTACCCGAAGTCAGAAACAGTATCGTTACCCGGGTCAGAAACAACAGTACCGTTACCCGGGGTCAGAAACAACAGTACTGTTACCCATTGAACAAACAACAGTACTGTTATGCATGGAACAAACAACAGTACTGTTACCCATGAAACAACAGTACTGTTACCCGGGTAACAGCGTTTTCACCTGTTGCCTGCTGTACGCCCCTGTTGACTCATTGATCAGACTTGCTGCCGTTAATTCTGTTTGCCATTAGATAACTTATTGTATGAATTACCATATCCAGAGTTATCCTAGATTATCCAAGATTATCCTAGATTATCCTGTCTTCCTATTTTACCCTATCCTAGATTGTCTTACAGATTATCCTAAACTATCCTAGATTATCCTAACCTACCTTAGTTTATCCTTACCTATATAAGATTATCCTGAACTATCCAAGATTATCCTGACCTATCCAAGATTATCCTAACATATCCAAGATTATTCTAACCTATCCTAGATTATCCTGACCTATCCTAGATTATCCTAACCAATTCAAGATTATCCTGACCTATCCAAGATTATCCTGACCTATCCTAGATTATCCTGGCCTATCCTAGATTATCCTAACCTATCCAAGATTATCCTGACCTAGATTATCCTGACCTATCCTAGATTATCCTGACCTAGATTATCCTGACCTATCCTAGATTATCCTGACATATCCTAGATTATCCTAACCAATCCAAGATTATCGTGACCTATCCAAGATTATCCTTACCCTTAGCAGCAGCAGCAACGGCAGTAACAGGAACAGCAGCAACAGTAACAACAGCAACAATAGCAGCAACAGTAACAACAGCAACAATAGCAGCAACAGTAACAGCAACAACAGTAACAACAGCAGCAACAGTAACAACAGCAGCAACAGTAACAACAATAGCAGCAGTTCCTACTTACTGCTAGGTGAACAGTGACAGCAGGTGTTAGTAGACTAACACCCAGGTACCTACTTACTGCTAGGTGAACACCGACAGCAGGTGTTAGTAGACTAACACCCAGGTACCTACTTACTGCTAGGTGAACAGTGACAGCAGGTGTTAGTAACAACCCCAGTACCTACTACTGCTAGTGACGACAGCAGGTGTTAGTAGACTAACACCCAGGTACCTACTTACTGCTAGGTGAACAGTGACAGCAGGTGTTAGTAGACTAACGCCCAGGTACCTACTTACTGCTAGGTGAACAGTGACAGCAGGTGTTAGTAGACTAACACCCAGGACTACTTACTGCAGGTGAACACTGACAGCAGGTGTTAGTAGACTAACGCCCAGGTACCTACTTACTGCTAGGTGAACACTGACAGCAGGTGTAAGGTGACTAACACCCAGGGAAGTGTTAAAACCATAGAGCTTACAGAGCTCTAAACCAAAGCTTAAGACAGAAAGGAAGCTTAATAAAGCTCTTAAACAAGGTTGAAGACAGAAAGGAAGCTTAATAAAGCTCTTAAACAAGGTTGAAGACAGAAAGGAAGCTTAATAAAGCTTTTAAACAAGGTTGAAGACAGAAAGGAAGCTTAATAAAGCTTTTAAACAAGGTTGAAGACAGAAAGGAAGCTTAATAAAGCTCTAAAACAAGGCTCAAGGCAGAAAGGAAGCTCAATAAAGCTCCAGGGAACACTAAATATCGTCCCCAGCAGAAGAGCTTCCAGCTGGACGTGTATTCCCTTCCTTATTGATGGGGTTGGAAAAAAAAAACCCGCGTTTTACCCGCATTAAGCGGCCTTGGTGGGCGTCAGTAAACACATGGAATATGTTTAAGGGTGTAAAGGCGAGTCAGCAAAGACAGAAATGGTCGGGGACCAGCCAGGATGAGCCACTCGGACCAAAGCTCTAGGGCGAAACCTTTTTTGGCGAAGAGTCCATGTCGCCATATCCAGGACGTTATATATCCGTTTATTTTGGCTTTTAGCCCTGTTTTCGGTGCTTTTTTGCGCTGAGGTTGTGGGTCGGGGTGGCAGGCATGGGCGGGGTGGGTTTTGGATGGGCGAAATGAGGTTAAAATGGTTTATTTTGGTTAAAAATGGGGTGTGTCGTGGTGCTGATAACTACTTAACCTGTCTTAATGCACCTGTTGTAGCTTCTAACGTCCTTGTCATGCCACATCTCACATTTGCATACACATACTTTTTACCTATTTACCATTTTTCGAGTGTCGCTCATTCGTATGTGAGGATAATGTGTAATGTGGCAGTCGAAATGTTTTTTTATGGGGGTTAAATGGGAGAAATGTGGGAATATAATGGGGGTTGGGGTTAGATGTGGCAACGCCGCGCGGCTGTGAGGTCATGGTCATGAAACGTGGAGTAAAAAGTGAGGTGTAGACTCACAGTCTTTTAAAACTTACTCGCACCTCGCCACGGCCACATCCTCGCCATCTCCCTCGCCGATTTAGCATCCCTATCGTACCCGCACTCTTACCCGAGCGATACAAGCGGATAACCGGGTCGAAATCGTGCTAAAAGTGGGTATTTCAGGGGGGAGTTGAAGCGCCAGGTGGGAGAGTGTTGGAACCTTGTTGATCACCAGTGTTGTTTTGTGGTAGCGGCGGCGGCGGGTGGATGTTGCTGCTACACTGACTGACTTTTTCTCCTCTCCTGGCACTGGCAGGCCGCATGCGGCACTCTCACCCACCGCACACCTTCACGCCCACCCCGCCCATCCCGCCCACCGCCCCGAAATGGCCGCAGGGAGGGCCGTAAGGCGGTGAATTAGTGATGAAACGTAGGGGTGAGATGTACACTTGTTGAGCGCTGGGCAAGTGGAGCAGCTCACACCATCACTCATACCAGCACTTATACCCGCTAATACCACTGTAAGTGACTTGTACCAGCACTTATACTAGTGTAAGTTACTCTTGTACCTTCCTGCTGTACCTGGACCTGTGTTGTACCTGCTAGTACCACTGTAACACCATCACTCATACCAGCACTTATACCCGCTAATACCGCTCTAAGTGACTTGTACCAGCACTTATACTAGTGTAAGTTACTCTTGTACCTTCCTGCTGTACCTGGACCTGTGTTGTACCTGCTAGTACCACTGTAACACCATCACTCATACCAGCACTTATACCCGCTAATACCGCCTTAAGTGACTTGTACCAGCACTTATACAGTGTAAGTTACTCTTGTACCTTCCTGCTGTACCTGACCTGTGTTGTACCTGCTAGTACCACTGTAACATACCATCACTCATACCACGGACTTATACCCGCTAATACCACTTAAGTGACTTGTACCAGCACTTATACATGTAAGTTACTCTTGTACCTTCCTGATGACCTGTGTACTGCTAGTACCACTGAAACCCATCACTCATACCAGCACTTATACCCGCTAATACCACTGTAAGTGACATACCACACTTATACTAGTGTAAGTTACTCTTGTACTCCACTATACCCCCTGTGTGACATACTATCCACTAAACCACTCATACCACACTAATACCCGTAATACCACACTATAACTGTGACATACCACCACTAATACCACTGTGACATACGCCACTATACCACTGTGACTTATAACCCCAAATACCACAGTGACTTATACCACCACTAATACCACTGTGACATACCACAACTAATACCACTGTGACATACCACCACTAATACCACTGTGACATACCACCACTAATACCACTGTGACATACCACACAACCAATACCACTGTGACATACCACCACTAATACCACTGTGACATACCACCACTAATACCACTGTGACATACCACACTAATACCACTGTGACATACCACCACTAATACCACTGTGACATACCACCACTAATACCACTGTGACATACCACCACTAATACCACTGTGACATACCACCACTAATACCACTGTGACATACCACACTAATACCACTGTGACATACCACCACTAATACCACTGTGACATACCACCACTAATACCACTGTGACATACCACCACTAATACCACTGTGACATACCACCACTAATACCACTGTGACATACCACCACTAATACCACTGTGACATAACCACCCACTACTAATATACCACTGTGACATACCACCACTAATACCACTGTGACATACCACCACTAATACCACTGTGACATACCACAACTAATACCACTGTGACATACCACCACTAATACCACTGTGACATACCACCACTATACCACTGTGACATACCACAATACCACTGTGACATACCACCACTAATACCACTGTGACATACCACCACTAATACCACTGTGACATACCACCACTAATACCACTGTGACCACATACCACGTGACATACCATACCACTGTGACATACCACCACTAATACCACTGTGACATACCACCACTAATACCACTGTGACATACCACCACTAATACCACTGTGACATACCACCACTAATACCACTGTGACATACCACACTAATACCACTGTGACATACCCCCACTAATACCACTGTGACATACCACCACTAATACCACTGTGACATACCACAACTAATACCACTGTGACATACCACCACTAATACCACTGTGACATACCACCACTAATACCACTGTGACATACCACCACTAATACCACTGTGACATACCACCACTAATACCACTGTGACATACCACAACTAATACCACTGTGACATACCACCACTAATACCACTGTGACATACCACAATACCACTGTGACATACCACAATACCACTGTGACATACCACCACTAATACCACTGTGACATACCACAACTAATACCACTGTGACATACCACAACTAATACCACTGTGACATACCACAACTAATACCACTGTGACATACCACAACTAATACCACTGTGACATACCACCACTAATACCACTGTGACATAACACTAATACCACTGTGACATAACACTAATACCACTGTGACATAACACCACTAATACCACTGTGACATACCACCACTAATACCACTGTGACATACCACCACTAATACCACTGTGACATACCACCACTAATACCACTGTGACATACCACCACTAATACCACTGTGACATACCACCACTAATACCACTGTGACATACCACCACTAATACCACTGTGACATACCACCACTAATACCACTGTGACATACCACCACTAATACCACTGTGACATACCACCACTAATACCACTGTGACATACCACCACTAATACCACTGTGACATACCACACTAATGCCACTGTGACATACACCACTAATACCACTGTGACATACCACCACTAATACCACTGGACATACCACACTAATACCACTGACATACCACAAAACTCATACCACTGTGACATTACCACTAACACCACACTCATACCACTGTATTTTACACACGACTACCACTTCGACTTATACACCACTCATACCACTGTATTAGTTTACTACCAGTTACCAGCTGTAAGTTAGTTTACTACCAGTTAACAGCTGTAAGTTAGTTTACTACCAGTTAACAGCTGTAAGTTAGTTTACTACCAGTTAACAGCTGTAAGTTAGTTTACTACCAGTTAACAGCTGTAAGTTAGTTTACTACCAGTTAACAGCTGTAAGTTAGTTTACTACCAGTTAACAGCTGTAAGTTAGTTTACTACCAGTTAACAGCTGTAAGTTAGTTTACTACCAGTTAACAGCTGTAAGTTAGTTTACTACCAGTTAACGGCTGTAAGTTAGTTTACTACCAGTTAACAGCTGTAAGTTAGTTTACTACCAGTTAACAGCTGTAAGTTAGTGTACTACCAGTTAACAGCTGTAAGTTAGTGTACTACCAGTTAACAGCTGTAAGTTAGTTTACTACCAGTTAACAACTGTAAATTAGTGTACTACCAGTTAACTGTTAGTTTACTTCCAGTTAACTGTAAGCCACACACACACACACAGACACACACACACACACACACACAGGGGAGACTTGATAACGACATACAAGATACTGCGTGGAATAGATAAGGTGAACAGAGACAGGATGTTATAGATAGGGGATACAGAAACAAGGGGTCACAATTGGAAGCTGAAGACTCATACAAGTCAAAAGGATGTTAGGAAGTATTTCTTCAGTCATAGGGTCTCCAGGAAGTGGAATAGCCTAGCAAGTGACATAGTGGAGGCAGGAACCATACATAGCTTTAAGACGACGTATGACAAAGCAGAGAGAGGACCTAGTAGCGATCAGTGAAGAGGCGGGGCCAGGAGCTGAGTCTCGACTCCTGCAACCACAGTTAGGTGAGTACACACACACACAAAGACCGCAGACAGAGTATAGGCTAGGTGGCCAAACACTGGAAACCTCACTCAGTGAGAAAGACCTTGGCGTGAGTATAACACCGAGCATGTCTCCAGAAGCACACATCAACCAGATAACTGCTGCAGCATATGGGCGCCTGGCAAACCTGAGAACAGCGTTCCAATACCTTAATAAGGAATCGTTCAAGACACTGTACACTGTGTACGCCAGGCCCATACTGGAGTATGCAGCACCTGTTTGGAACCCATACTTGATCAAGCACTTAATTAGAGAAAGTGCAAAGGTTTGCGACAAGGTTAGTTCCAGAGCTAAGGGGAATGTCCTACGAGGAAAGGTTAAGGGAAATCGGCATGTCGACACTGGAGGACAGGAGGGTAAGGGAGACATAACGACATACAAAATACTGCGTGGAATAGACAAGGTGGACAGAGACCGGATGTTTCAGAGATGGGACACAGCAACAAGGGGTCACAATTGGAAGTTGAAGACTCAGATGAGTCAAAGGGATGTTAGGAAGTATTTCTAAAGTCATAAAGTAGTCAGGAAGTGGAATAGCCTATCAAGTGAAGTAGAGGCAGGAACCATACATAGCTTGAAGATGAGGTATGATAAAGCTCGTGGAGCAGGGAGAGAGAGAGGACCTAGTAGCGCTCAGTGAAGAGGCGGGGCCAGGAACTGAGTATCGACCCCTGCAAACAAAATTGAGTACACACACGACAGCCAGCACGGTTTCAGGGACGGAAGATCCTGTGTCGCAAACCTACTGGAGTTCTATGACAAGGTGACACCAGTAAGACAAGGGGGAGAGAGAGAGGGGTAGGTAGATTGCATTTTCTTAGACTGCAGGAAGGCATTTGACACAATTCCACACAAGAGATTAGCACAAAAGCTGGAGAACCAGGTAGGTATAACAGGGAAGGTACCGCAGTGGATCACGGAATACCTGTCCGGAAGACACCAACGGGTCACGGTACGTGGCGGGGTGTCAGAGGGCACCTGTGACGAGCAGGGTTCCACAGGGGTCAGTCCTAGGACCAGTGCTGTTTCTAGTATTTGTGAACGACATGACGGAAGGATTAGATTCAGAAGTGTCCCTGTTTGCAGATGATGTGAAGTTGATGAGAAGAATTCAGTCGGACGAGGACCAGGCAGAACTACAAAGGGATCTGGACAGGCTGCAGGCCTGGTCCAGCAACTGGCTCCTGGAGTTCAACCCCACCAAATGCAAAGTCAGGAAGATTGGGGAAGGGCAAAGAAGACTGCAGACGAAGTACCGTGTAGGGGCCCAGAGACTACAAACCTCACTCAAGGAAGAGGATCGTGAGGTGAGTATAACACCGAGCACATCTGAGGCGCACATTAACCAAATAACTGCTGCAGCATATGGGCGCCTAGCAAACCTCAGAACAGCATTCCGACATCTTCATAAGGAATCGTTCAGGACCCTGTACACAGTGTACGTTAGGCCCATATTGGAGTATGCGGCACAAGTTTGGAACCCACACGTAGCCAAGCATGTAAGGAAACTAGAGAAAGTAAAAAGGTTTGTAACAAGACTAGTCCCAGAGCTGAGGGCCATATCCTACGAGAAAAGGTTAAACGAAATCGACCTGACGACACGGGACGACGGGAGAGATAGGCAGGATATGATAACACACAAAATACTGAGAGGAATCCATAAGATGGACAAAGACAGGATGTTCCAGAGATGGGACACAGAAGCAAGGGGTCACAGTTGGAAGTTGAAGACTCGGATGAATCACAGGGATGTTAGGAAGTATTTCTTCAGTCACAGAGTTGTCAGGAAGCGGAGTAGTCTGGGAAGTGATGTAATGGAGGCAGGATTCATACATAGCTTTAAGAAGAGGTATGATAAAGCTCATGGAGCAGGAGTGATCTAGTAGCGACCAGTGAAGAGACGGGGTCAGGAGCTGTGACTCGACCCACACACCCCATACACACACACACACCCCACCCCCACATACACCCCACATACACCCCACATACACCCCAAACACCCAAATACACCCCAAAACCACCCCACTACACCCCACATACACCCCCCAAAACACCCCACAACACAAAACACCCACACACTCACCCTCACACACCCCCCCACACAACACACCCACACACACACCCCACACACACACCCCCACACACACCCCACACACACACACACCCCCACACACACAAAACACCCCACACACACACCCCACACACACACACCCACACACACACACCCCCCACACACACAACCCCACACACACACACCCCACACACACACACCCCACACAACACACCCCACAACACACACCCCCACACACACACACCCCCCACCACACACACCCCACACAACACACCCCACACACACCACACCCACACACACACACCCCACCCAACACACCCCCACCACACACACCACCCCCACAACACACCCCCCACACACCCCACACACACACCCCACACACACAAACCCCCCCACCACCCCCCACACACACACCCCCACACACCCCCACACACCCCACACACACACACCCACACAACACACACACCCCACACACACACACCCCACCAAAACACACACCCCACACCCCCCCCCACACCCCCCCCCACACACACAACCCCACACACACACCCCACACACACCCCCCCACACACCCCACCCCCCACACACACCCCACACACACACAACCCCACAAACACAACCCACACCACACACCCCACCACACACACACACCCCCCACACCAAAACACACACCACAACACCCCACACCCCACACCCACCACACCCACAACCCCCCAACACCCCCACACACCACACACCCCCACACACCCCCACACCCCACACACCACCCAACACAACAACACACCCCCCACACACCCCACACAAACCCCACAAACCCACACCACCCACACACCCCCACACACCCCCACACACACACACACACACACACAAAACACACCCCACACACACCACACACACACACCCCCCCACACCCTCCCACACACACCCCACACACCCCACACACACCCCCAAAAACACACCCACACAACCCCCCACACCACAACCCCACCCACACACACCCCACACACACACCCCACACAACCCCACACACCCCCCCACACACCACACCCCCACACACAACCCCACACACACCCCACCACCCCCACACCACCAAACCCACACACACCACACACACCCACCACACACACACACACACCACACACCCACAAAACCCCAACACCCAAAAACACACACACCACACACACACCACACACAAAACCACACACAACACCACACCACACACAACACACCACACACCACACACACAACACACCCAACACACCACACACACCACACCACACACACCCCCACACACCCCCACCACACACCACACACACCCACACACCCCACACACCCCACACACCCCCCACCCACACACCACAACACCCCACACAACCCCCACACCACACCCCCCCCAACAACCCCACACACCCCCCACACCACCCACACACAACCCCACCACACACCACCCACACACCACACACACACCACACACACACCACACACACACACACACACCACCCACACCCCACACCACCCCACACACCCACACACACACCACACACACACACACCCCCCCACACACACCACACACCCCACACACACACCACACACACACCCCCACACCCCACACACCACACACACACACCACACACACACACCACACACACCCCCACACCCACAACACACCCACAAAACACCCACACACACCCCACACACACCCACACACCCCACACACCCCCACACACCCCACACACCCCCACCACCCCCACACACACCCCAAAACCCCCCCCACCCCCACACCCCACCCCACACACACCCCACACACCCCCCCACACAACCCCCCAACCACCCCCCCACCCCCACAACACCACCACACCACACACCCCACACACACCACACCACAACCCCACACACACCACACACCCCACCACACACAAAACCACAAAACACACCACACACCCACACCACACCAACACACCCCAAACCACACACACACCACCAAAACACCACACACACCACCAAAACACACCACACACCCCAAAACCCCACACCACCACACACAACCCCCACACACCCAAACCCCCCCACACACCCCACACACAACCCACACACAACACCACAACACACACCACACACACCCCACCACACACACACACCACACACCACACACCACACACACACCCCCACCACACACACCACACACACCACACACCACACACCACACACACACCCCAACACCCCACACCACACACACACACAACCCCCACACACACACACACCACACACCACACCACACAAAACCACACACACACACACCACCCCACACACCACACACACACACACACACACACAACCCCACCACACACAACCACCCCCCCAACCCCAAACACCCCCCACCCCAAAACCCCACCCCACACAACAAACACCACACCACACAACACCCCACACAACACACACCCCACACACCACACACACCCCACACCACACACACACACACACACACACACACCACACACACACCACCACACACCCACAAAACACCCACACACCACACCCACACACCCCCCCACCCCAAACACCACACACCCCCACACACACCCACACACACACACCCACACAAAACACCACACCCCACACCACACACCACCCACACACACCCCACACCACACACCCCACACAAAACACCCACACACACACCCCACACACCACACCCCACACACACACACCCACACACCACCCCCACACACACCCCACACACACACACACCCCACAAAACACCCCACACACACCCCCACACACACCCCCACAACACCCAACACACCCCCACACACACCCCCCAACACCCCCCAAACCCACCCCACACAAAACCCCCACACACACCCCCACACCCACACACACCCCACACACACCCCCACACACACACACACCACCCCCACCCACAACCACTCAAACACACACACCACACCACACCACTCACCACACACACCACACACAACACACACCAAAGCGCACACACACACACACCACACCACACCACACACCCACACACACACACAACCCACACACACACACCCCCGACACTCACAAGACACCGCACCCACACCCCCCACAACCCCACCCCCCCACCACCACCACACACGACAACCACACACATCACACACACACACACACACACACCACACACACACACACAACACACCACAACACATCACGACCCACACACACGCGCACCACACACACACGAACCCACACCCACCACACACACCACCAACACACACAACACACAACACCCACCACACAACACCACCACACACACCACCCACACAACACCAACACACACACCACACACACACCACACACACACCACACACACACCACACACACACACACCACACACCACACACACACACACACACACACACACACACCACACACACACCACAAACACCACACACACACACCACACAACACCACACACCCACACAACACCACACAAACCACACACACCACACACCACCACACACACACCACACACACACCCCACACACACCACACACCACCACACCACACACACACACACACACACACACACACACCACACCCCCCCCCCCCCCCCAACACCACCACACACCAGCCACACCCCACCCACACACCACCACGCACCACACCACACCCACAACACCACACACACACCCACACACTCCACACACACGCATCACACACGCCACACACACGCCACACACATACCACACACACACACCACACAACACACAACACACAACACACACCCCCACCCCCACACACACCCACACACCCACACACACCCCACCAACCCACCCACAACCCACCACACCAACACACACACCACCCACCCACCACCCCACCACAACACAAACCACACACACAACCCCACACACACACAACCACACCCACACACCCCACACACACACCACTCAGACCAACACCACACACACACCACCCACACAGACACCACAACACACACCACACACACACACACACACACACACACCACACAAACACACAACCACACACAAACACACCACACACACCACACAACACACAGCACAACACACCACCACACACACGCACCACACACAACCACACACCAACACTACCACACACAACAACCCCAACCGCACCGATCACACCAAACACACACAGCGACACACACACACACCACCACACACCCCACCACACGCCACACACACACCACAACACACACAGCACACACAC